TCTTTCCTTTATCTGTTCCAATGCAATGGTCATTATCTATCCACTCTTGTCCTATTTTCCTCTCAATCCCCACATTGGACCTACTTTATAACAGTGTTACTATGTAGCATTTGTCGTTTTGTAACAAGAATATTTTACTCAGCATAATGTCCTCCTAGTTCTCCATGTGGCATAGTGTTTTATAAGCTCACTGTTTTTCAGAAACATGTAGTATTCTATTATATAAATATACCATCTCTTTATAATACTCCCTCCCATCTTACTAGCCCAAAAGCCAAATAATAAACAAAAATTAACCCAAAACTTAAGAACTACCAATAAAAGTATACTTCTTCTGCATCCATTACTACCCAATCCCTACACGCTAATAACCCAAGTTCTCCCAAAGTCTTTTTCTCAGTATTAAAAGATATATTCTTTACTATTATCTCTCCACTCTGACTCTCATCCTTTATTTGCCTTTAAATAAACTAACCCTGAAACACTGAGAACCAGTCAATATAGTTAAGAAAAAGATTTAAGCAAAATTGTTCTGATAAACTCAGTCTAATAAAAGTATGCTATATGACACAACCCTGCTTGCTGAAACTGAGGAAGACCTGAAGCACTTGCTGCAGAAGGTCAAGGACTACAGCCTCCTATATGGGTTGAAGAGCAACATCAAGATAATATTTTCACCTCTGAGCCAAATGGCAGCATCATTATAGATAATGATGAGATTGAGATTGTTAACAGTTTTACGTGACTCCACAATCAACACACTTGGTACTGGGAGCTAGTAAATTAAAAGATGAATTGCTTTGGGAAAGTCTGCTGTAGGAGACCTATCCAAAATACAGAATATCAACGATGTCATTCCTGAGACTAAGGTACACCTGATACAGGCCACAGTCTTTACAATTATTTGCTATGCATCAGAAATCTGGACAATGACTAGGGATGATAGGAGAATTGATGCCTTTGGGTTGAGAAGAGTATTGAATATACCACGGACTGCTAGAACAATTTCATCCTAGAGAGGGTGAGACCAGGCTGCTCCTTGGAGGCAAGGATACTGAGGCTTCGTCTGATATACTTTGAACATGTTGCAAAGAGGAACCAGTCTTTGGAGAGGGACATCATACTTGGGACGGTGGAGGGACAGCACAAGAGAGGAAGACCCTTGATGAGATGGATTGATTGGCTGGGGTAATGGGGGTAGATGTGTCAGAGACAATAAGATAGGCACAGGATAGAGCAGAGTTGTACATAGAGTCACAATGAGTTGCAGCCAATTTGATGACACATAACAACATTGTAATTAATATTATAAAAAGTATATGAGCAAATCAATTGTAATTACACTGCTATAAAACAGCATATGAATAACTGAATGAAAAACCAGTAAGATTTATAAACTTTCCCTGAAATAAAAAAAAAATAATAAAGTAAAAAAGCACATAAGCCTCTGGTTATCTGATGATCTCAAACAATTTGCTGCAAAATAACTGTCCTAGGGTCAATGCCACAGTAAGAAGACTGATGTAGCTTACTGACTGATATCAGTAAGACTGATATGCTTTGTCAAAGAAAGCACATTACCCAGGAAGAAAGAGGTGTCACCATATGCTTAGAACAAAACTGCTAAGGGAGCTCTGGTGGCCTAGTGGCATGAAGCTGCACTGCAATCCCAGAAGTACGTGGTTTGAATCTACCATATGCTCTGCCGGAGAAAGAGGGGCAATATCCTCCTGTACCAGTAAGATCTGATTCGATTGTACACACACACACACACACACACACACACACACACACACACACGTATAATAAAATTTTAAAACAATTTAAAAATTAAAAAAAAAAGAACAAAACTGCTCAGGTGTACTCACCTCCTCCAGCCACCTGCCCCTCACTGGGCTTCTCCAAAGGTGTGAAAAAAAATGCTGGTTGTCCATAGCTTTTTCTCCTCAAATATCTTGCTTCACCTGGCATCTAGGCATCAGCGAGCCTGTTCCCTCCCAATCCACCGCAAGTGGCTGACATGACTCTCCTGGGCTGCCCTCAAGTTGGATACTGAACAGAGTGATGAAAGTCTTTGCGGTGGGTATGGCTCCCAGAGACAGGGGGAGAGAGACAGGAAGCAGCTGGTCCCAAGTAACCAACATGTTTTTAATTAAACAGACCTGAGAGGGAAACCAGGTGATCCCATGCAGAGAAGACCAGAATGGCAAAGGCAGTTTCTTTTTATAGGGACTCTTTAGGAGATGAGAAGTGATGATAGTTGGTACAGGAAGTTTGGGGCAGGGTGTCTGTCAGGATGTGATTAGGCCTGGGTGCCTGGGACTAAGTATTTGGGGTAGGTAGTATAACTTAGACTTTCTTTCTCCAGGCCCAAGACAAGGAAGAAGAGGAAGTGAGGGTCTTTCTCCTGTGGGCTTGTGAATTTGCAGGCTGACTCTGCTACCTTCTTCTTTGATTACATCAAATGGTGGTGGTTGTTTCTGATTGCCTTCTAGTTGAGCACAACTCATAACGACTCCTATGAACAAAAGACCTGAAACCTTTCTATAAACTATCGACATTTATTAAAGTTCATAGTTTCTGGAGGTATGTTGTTTGGGAAGTGGATGCCACTTATGCTTCCAAATGGAGCAATATTAAGTGATCTGTTAATTATATTATCAAGTATTCATTGTATGTCATCTAGGCATCAGGATACCTACCAGACTGACGTGGTCCCTATATATTCATGGAGTCTTGAAAGGGAGACAATACTAATCCAAACTATGAGTTTCAATATGAGGCTGACCTTGCTCAAGAAAAAAAACTAAACAAAAATAGGAAGTCTGTTTAGGCCAGGTCTAGGCCCAAGAAGACACTGTTGTTGTTGTTATGTGCCAACAAGTCGCCTGCAATTCATAGTGATCCTATGTACAACAGCTCTGAACCCTGCTCTTTAGTGAGCCAATCTCACTGTCTCCAACACACCTGCTCCCATTACTCTAGTCACTGATTCAATCCATCTCATTAAGGGTCTTCCCCACCTGTGCTTTCACTCCACACTCCCAAGCATAATGTCCTTCTCCAAGGACTCATCCTTCCTTGCAACATGCCCGAAGTGTGTCAGATGAAGCTTCAGAATCCTTGCCTCCAATGAGCAGCCTGGTTTCACCCTCTCCAGGATGAACCTCTTTGTTCTATTAACAGTCCACGGTATGTTCAATACGCTTCTTCAGCACCACAGCTCAAAGGCATCAATTCTCCTTCTGCCATCCCTAGTCATTGTCCAGCTTTCTGATGCATAACATGTAATTGTGAAGACCATGGCCTGGATCAGGTGCACCTTAGTCTCTTAGTACGCTGGAAATGTCCTTGACTTTCCCAGTGCAATTCTTCTTTTGTTTTCCTGGCTATTGGTACCAAGAGTGTTGAATGTGGAGCTGTTAACAAACTCAATCTCTTCACCATCCATCATGATGTTGCTAATCAGCCCACTGGTGAGAATCTTTGTTTTCTTGATGTTAATCTTCAGTCCAAAAAGATGCTAGTTAAGCAAAAACAGAAAAGCTGTTTAGTAGATGACCCCCCTGGAGCAGTGGCAGGTGAACAGTTTCTAACTATATAAGGGAGATTTAAGTTCAGCAATAAATATAATAGAAAAACTGGTCCAGCAGCTGGGAGTTGGTTGTCTAGTAATCAAGGGAATTTTAACTAACCTATGACCTTTCTCCCTTTGTACCTAATTGACTTGAAGCCCCTTTGCCCAAAAGGTTTAATTAGCCATCATAATGTATGTAAAAACTAGCCAATAGAAAAGAGACCCAACCACTACTTTGTAAGCCTATACAAGGAAAGAATATTTTGTGTTTGGGGAGCCTGACCTTTGAGAGGCTGTAGTCTCTGTTAGTCCCCGTGGACAATAAAGTCTTCTTTACATCACCAAAAGAGCATGTAGCACTCACTGTTCCTTTGCCTGGAGTGTCTGGACAGGAAGTCAAATTCCTGTAACAAAATCAACACTTTTGGTACCAGCAGCCAGGACATCAAAAGACGAATTGCACTGGACAAGTCAAGGACATCTCTAGAGTACTGAAGAGCAATGATGTCAGTCTGAAGACTGAGGTATGCCTGATCCAGGCCATGATCATCACAATTACATGTTATGCATCAGAAAGCTGGACAATGACTAGGGATGGCAGAAGGAGCTGATGCCTTTGAGCTGTGTTGCTGAAGAAGTGTATTGAATATACCGTGGACTGTTAATAGAACAAAGAGGTTCATCCTGGAGAGGGTGAAACCAGGCTGCTCATTGGAATTAAGGATTATGAAGCTTCGTCTGACATACTTTGTGCATGTTGCAAGGCTTGGGAGGGTGGAGGGAGAGCACAAGAGAGGAAATTAGATCCTCGATGAGATGGATTAGTTCAGTAGTTGGGGTAATGGGGGTAGGTGAGTAAGAAATATGGTTGCCTCAGGATAGAGCAGGTTTCAGAGCGGCTGTACATAGATAGGGTCGATGGCACCTAACAAGGTGATGAGGGTGGCCTAAAACGAACTCTTATTTGAGCAAGTCTCCGAGAGACAGATCTTGGATTCTGCTTCAGTTCCTGGCACTTCCCTTATGTAAGTTTGTTTCTGCAGCTTCAAAGTAAAAAGACATTTTAGGGGCAAAACGACAGTTTTAAAGATTTTAGGTCCCTCCCAAGTCTGTTCAAGAAACACTTTTGGAAGAAGTTTATAAAAGCGACAAAGACATTGAGTGTTGCCTGTTCCAGTTGGGAATCTTCCTGCATAGACCAAATAGCCAGCTCCCTTTGGGTATGTAGCCCTAAACTCAGGTGGGGTTGTCACCCACCTGGCCCGCTAAGCGCTTCCGCCGCGCAGGCGTAATGGCCTATCTCATTATTCGCAGCAACATACACTGAGCATGTCTGCTCAGCACGCGCACGCGCACCTCGGTTTCCAAGGCGACCTTTAGCGCGCATAACCGGCTTTGATTTTTCTCCGTGGTTAACCTTATGATGGCGTTTGCGAGTCCTAGCGTCTTTCTGCTTATGGTAAACGGGCAGGTGGAAAGTGCCCAGGTGAGCGGCTTGGTCCCACTCGCGGCTCCCCGGAGCCTGTCCTCGGTGAGGTGGGAGAGGAGGCTTCCCCAGGCCGCGGTCGCAGGGTGAAGATGCTGGGCTTTCTCCGAGTCCTGAGTGGAAACTAAGGGCTACAGAGGCCGAGCTCACAAGAGAGCACACTTGGACCAGCGTGTCCCTCCCTTTGTTGACAGAAGGTATCACGGGTATGGCTGGACCTCAGAACTTCTCTGAGCCTCCGATCCGTAGACATCGGTTTGAGTGAGGGAGGTACTGGTAATCATGGTGCTGGCCTGAAATCATCCTGAAAGATGTGTCTGTCAGGCCAAAGGGGACGCCGCTCCCCAACCCTCAACCATTAAAACCCAAAACCCTCTGGTATTCTGGTTAATCCCAACTCACAGAGACACCCTACAGGGTTTTCTGGGTTGTGAATCTTAGGGAGAAAGGACATTTTGTTTTCTTTGTTTGGTGTGCTCGAACCTCCAACCTTTAAATTAGCAGCCAGACTTAGACAGTGCAACGTTGGTGTTATTTTGTATAGTAGAGTCGGGACCGACCCATAGCAGGTTTCCAGAAGCAGTTACTGGCACGGGAGTAGATCGCCCATCCTTCTCCCCTGGAACATCTCGTGGTCTCGAACCCTGTGTCCTTGGGATTGCAGCGCAGCGGCTTGCCATCAGATCACAGGTTGATAAAGACCATCTGTGCCAGGTTTTGGCTAAATATAACCCTCACCACTTTACCTTCACTTGATAAAACACCGGGAGTTTTTAACACTCTCATTTTAAACATGGGAAGACTCGTGCAAAGGAAGGTACAGTGCTGGGCTTTAAATTTACATCTCAGCCTTTAAAATTTGCTACTCTCTAATATGAACCTTACAGGGCGTTGGATATCATATACATGAATATTAAAGGAACTGTTCGGTACAGATATGCTCAGAGCCTGCTTGTTAGGTGTATCCCGTCTTCTTTGATTTCCTCGGGTGTTTTCAGCGTGTGTTCCCATTTGTCCACCTCTTTTTTGTCTTCCCCTTTCTGTTTAGCTAGGGGCTTTACACTAGCCTGGGTCAGTGCTCACACATAGCCCATGATTTGATGGCCTGGGTTTTCACACCTATCGCTTGGGTGCTGTCCGATTAGACCTCTGTGCCCTTGTTGAGCTCCTGGAGCATATTCTCATGGGATGATGGAAACAGCGGGTCAGTGCCTTGATGAAGATCAGCTCTGGCTAACTGAGACTGGATGCTAGGGGAAGCTTTCAGAAAGAAGTTTTGAAAGAGGAGCAAGAATTTGCCAGATGAAGGCATAGGGAGAGTATACTAAGCAGAAGGTAGCACCTGAGCAAAGGCCCAGGGAATCAGCAGTCATTCCCACAGCTCAGTCTGCAGCCTGACTTCTCAGTTGAATCCAATATCCAAATATGGGGTTGACGCTTAGTACCTGCTCCAAGTGCTTATGTTCAGAATTCTTATTGGTTATACATTCTTGTTAGGATCGACAATCAGATGGATTGACAGGATGACTGCCGCAGTGGGCCCGAGTGTATTAGAAATTGTGAGGATAGCACAGGATAGGACAGGCTCAGATATGTTGTTCACAGGGAACTCTGGTGTCAAGAAGCTTTGCTGCAATCCCAGAGGCATGCAGTTTGAGACCACTAGCTGCTCTGTGGGAGAAGGATGGGCACTTTCCTCCCATGCAATTTATTTTGTCTGAAGACCCACCAGAGGGTCGGCTATGGGTTGGGTCTGATTCTTGTACACAACTACAACAGGGTTGCTGTGAGTCATGTTCAACTCAGCTACGCCTGACAACAACAGCAGCACGTGCTTAGGTGTGGCTCTGGTGGCGTGGTGCACAAGGACTATTCCATGAAGAGTTGCAGGACTAACAAAGACAATACCTCTCTGGAAGTTCAAATTCACCAGAAGATGCTCAGGAGAAAGATGGGTAATCTCTGTGATTTAATTGCTTTTGAAAACCTGCTGATGACCTGTGAGTTGATTCAGACTGGACAGCAATGAGTTTGAGTATTTTTTAAATACTTGCTCACCCAATGTGTAGGTGTTCCTTAGTGTGAATCTCAGTAATTAATTGTGATATGCTTATTTCCCCAGTTTCCAGAGTATGATGACCTCTACTGCAAATACTGCTTTGTGTATGGACAGGACTGGGCCCCAACAGCGGTAAGCCAGACTCTTGGCTGTCCTTTGCTCTGGCAGTCATGATTGTTGACTTTCTGAAGACATTCATCACACCCTTTCTCCCAGAACTAACTGAAGATGAGGATGGAGTATATAGGGAGACCCAGACATGAACTTGTTCCTGGTAAAACTAGAGTTGAGTTAGCGATAGCTGGCTCCCACATACTGGGCTTCCTTCCATACTGTTCTCATATAGCCTGTCCTGTGGTTATAGTAGAAGCCAAATTTAGTTAATTTGTGAGTTTCTGTTTCTATATCTGTACAACTAAGGTGACAGGATTTATGTCTCATTCACTCTGTTACTGAATAACTAATAATTGTCTTCTGAGTACAGGGAAGTTACTGGTGAACAAAACCAGATGAAAGTCTCTGTCTTTCTGGAATATCTGTTCTTATAAAACTTGACAGACAATATAAATGGTAAATGCTATACTAGTTGATGTGCTGAAGGGAAAATATAGTCAGAACATGGAGCGGGGAAGGAAAAGAGAGGTTGGTTTCATGTTGTTGCCATGCATTGGGACAATCTTGAAAGCAGCTGGTTTGGTTCTTTGAATCTAGATAATGGCGTTAGGAAAGACCCCTCTGAGAAGGTAGCTTTTGAGTTAAGACCTGAAGGAAGTGAAGGAACATATGGATATCTCTGGGGAGAACTTTTCTGGCAAAGGGAGCAGAAAGTACAAAGGTCCTGTATAGTAAGAGGGTACCTGTAATGTGGGAGGAGCAGTAAAGAGGCTAGAAGGGGCTCTGGTGACATGATGGTTCAGCTTATTGACTTGTTACCCAAAGGGTCAGTTATCTGAGCCTGCCCAGCTGCCCTGCAGTAGAAAAGACCTGACATCTCCTTCTGCAAGAGTTGTAGTTTAGAAAACCCTAAAGGGCACTTCTGTTCTGTCATAGGGCTTTTAAGAGTAGAAATTTATTTGACAGCACATGACAACAATAAAGAGGCCAGGTGGCCATGAATAGTATGAGCAAGGACAGTGGCTGGAAGAGGAACACAGACAATTGTTGAAAGGCCCTAACTTTGACCCAGGGTGTAATGAGACCCTATCAGGATGCCGAACAGAGATAGGAGGTGATCCAACATAATGTTCAAATATGATCTCCCTAAATTGTGTTATGGATAAACTGTTACAGGAAAGCAAGGGCAGAAGTAAGGTGACCAATTTGCTATTCAGTAATGCAGGTGTGAGAAGACAATGGCAAGGCCACAGGTGGTTGAATTTTGAGTATATTTTGAAATTGGAGATAAGTTTTCCTGTTGGACAAGATGTCAGGTGTGAGAAAGAGGAGCTAAGAAGGACACTAAGGCTCTTGATTAATGATGAGTAAAGAAAATTAAACCCATATAGAAACAAAGGACCCATGGATCATGTGAATCTCAGCTTCTGTGACCCTGAACCAGATGTTGTCTAGCTACCATTGCTGAAAGGTTCAAAAAGTATCACAGTAGAGGGTTCTGGGAAGAGTAAGGGACAACGTGGAACATGACTCAGAATCATAAAAAATTGTCAGGCTTGCTGATCTGATAGAGGATAGTGGAATGCCTGAAACTTTGGTCATTGTCACCCTTCAAACCTGAAACAAAACTCAGTCTTGTGGCTGAATTACCAACCAAATGGTAGACAGGCTTATAAGGTAAACAGTAACACATTAAGAAGGTACTTACTCCTTAGAACAGTCAACAATGTAACATCAAAGAGCAGCATTTGCCCAGGGATAAAGCAGAGGACAGAAGGATGTCTGGAGATGAGACTCACAGGGAGGAACAGTGTAGGGACGGTAATTAATGTCATGAAACAAAATGTGTGTGAATGCTTGCATGGAAAACCAATTTGCAAACTAAACTTTCACTTAAATCACAATAAAGGCTTCAAAAAAACAGTGGAATCAGTGACATCAGGGTTTAGTGTGAATACGTAAAGATAGTTGTTGTGTATCATTAAGTCAGAACTGACCCATGGCTGACCCTCCAGTAGATTTTCAGATGCAGCCAATCTCACAGGAAGAAACTGCCCATTTTACTTCCACAGAGCAGCCGGTGCATTCGAACCACCTACCTTTGTGTTGGCAGTTCAGTTCTTTACCACTAAGCCCCCACAGCTCCCTTCTTGATAATGGTGGTTATTGTTGTATACCATCAAGTCAGAATCAAATCATAGCTGATCCTCCAGTGGGTTTTCAAAGGGAGTTAAATCAGATGGGAAGAGATTGCCCATCTTTCTCCCATGGAACAGCTGGTAGATTTGAACCACATGCGTTTTGGATGGTCTACTAGAGAGCCAGATGGAGGTGAGAGGTAGGCAGCAAAAGACACTGATCTGGAGTTCAGAGTAGAGGACTGGCAGCAGAATCATCAACATACAGGCCACCTTTAAAGATCTGAGCCTGGTTGAGACCACAGATGCAGCATAAGAGCAAGCCTGCCATGCTCCACCTAATGTGGAAAGACTAATAAGAGAGACCAACCAGAAATTTCTTTGAGGTAGCAAAATATAGATGATTGTAGTGTCCCAGAAACCCACAGAAGGAAATGTGTCTAGACGTGGAGTGTGGAGATGTGGTCATTGGATCAAGCAGTATCAGGATCACATACTACTTGAAAGTACTTTGGGGAAAGTATTTGGGTAATGGGGCCAGTTATGAGGTTAGTGTCATGAGGGATGAAAGAAATTTAAAGCAGTAAGAATTAACTGTTCTTTCCAAGGAATTTTGTAGTAAATGAGAGCAAAGAATGGGTTGATAGTTGCAGGAAGATGATGGAAGTGTCTTGTGATGGAGGAGATAGTGTATGTATGCTGATGGGAATTGATAACAGGAGAGTGAAACGTGATAAAGCCATTTCCTTCAGGAGATGAGAGGGAACAAGACTAGGTTCAAAGGACAAGAGTTGGCCTCCCAGGGGTGGCAGCCCCAAAGAGGTAATACAGTACCAACTCTAAGAGATACTCCATTACCTTTTCCTTTTGTTTGGAAGAAAGTGTCTTGGTAGAAGATTGGTAAGAGAGTTATGCCATCCCAACTGTTATTCCCCAAGGCGAGGGGAGGCATGTGACATCTTGAAGTTTGGATACTAACTGTTAATGTAATTTTCTTCATAGGGTTTGGAGGAGGGGATCTCGCAGATCACATCAAAAAACCAAGATTTACAGCCATTGCTGGTGTGGAACTTCCCTATCGACGTCACCTTTAAAAGCACCAACCCCTATGGCTGTGAGTTGGGTAGTACTGGGGACTGGGGAGTGGTTTCAGGTTGTACACTGAGCGCAGTCTGTGCCTCACCCTTGCTGCCACTGTCCAGATTACTGTCTGCGTTGCTTATCACCTGTCCTATTTACCAGCATTGTGCAGATGTACGCTCTGACCACCTGCTGTTTATTTTACTTCTCCCTTATTCTGCTTCACCACAGTTCATCATCTAGATGCTGTAATGCTGTATAGTTAACCTTTTGGAAGTTTAGACTGGATATAGCCAGTCCCTAAATTGAAGTCTTGGATAGCTCTCATATTTAACATTGCTGTTATTGTTACATACCATTGGAACTGACTCATAACCGCCCCTCCCCACCCCCCAGTGAGTTTTCAGAGGCAGTAAATCACACAGGAGGAGACTGTTGATCTTTCTCCTGTGGAGCAGCTGGTGGATTTGAACTGCCTGTC